CTCCGCCCCACACCGGCCGGGCGGCATGGACGGCAGCCCTCCGCCTCTGACCAGAGCCTGGCGCCGCGCCTCTGCAGGTGATGGGCGCGCAGTTCTACGACGCGAACCTCTCGATCCCTGGCTGCGACAAGAACATGCCCGGCTGCATCATGGCGATGGCGAGAGTCAACCGGCCCTCGGTGATGGTCTACGGAGGCACCATCCGCGCGGGCTGCCGGCCAGACAAGGACGAGAAGCTCGACATCATCTCGGCCTTCCAGGCGTGATTTGATGATCTCATGATCTAGTTATTCAATTATCTAATGATTCGCTCGACATCATCTCGGCCTTCCAGGCGTGATTATTAATTAATAAGTCATTAACAATAATGACATCATCTCGGCCTTCCAGGCGTGATTACTAATTAACAAGTCATTAACAATAATGACATCATCTCGGCCGTCCAGGCGTGATTATTAATTAACAAGTCATTAACAATAATGACATCATCTCGGCCTTCCAGGCGTGATTCTTAATTAACAAATAACAATAACGACATCAGCTCGGCCGTCCAGGCGTACGGCGAGTTTGTGACGGAGAAGATCGACGACGAAACTCGGCTCGGCGTCGTGCGGCACGCCTGCCCCACTGATGACTGGTGGCCAACTGTTGCGAGTGATGCATGAACAGGCTCGACGTCGTGCGGCACGCCTGCCCTGGCCCGGGCGCGTGCGGCGGGATGTACACGGCCAACACCATGGCGTCGGCGATCGAGACGCTGGGTGTGTCCCGACGCCGCGAGCCTCCCCTACCCGCCACGGTACCCGAACCCATCCCCTACCCCCCACGCTACCCGAACCCTAGGCATGTCTGTGCCGTACTCGTCCTCGATCCCTGCCTGGGAGCCGGCTGCCAACGGGGGGAAGGGCGGGCTGCACCCGGAGAAGGTGCGCGCGAGATGAGTCGAGATGAGTCGAGATCAGCCCAGATTGGCCCAGATTAGCCGAGATTGGCTGCACCCGGAGAAGGTGCGCGCGAGATGAGCCGAGATTGGCCGAGATGAGCCGAGATCGAGGTCATGGCTGCACCTCGAGAAGGGTGTGTGACAGAAGAGGTGACCCGAGATTACCCGAGATCACCCGAGGTGACCCGAGATCACCCGAGATTACCCTAGATCACCCGAGATCGCCCGAGGTGACCCGAGATCACCCGAGATGATCCGAGGGGACCCGAGGGGACCCGAGGGGGCCCGAGATCACCCGAGATCACCCGAGATCACCCTGCAGGTGTCCGAGGTGCGGAGGGCGGTGGAGGCGCTGCAGCACTGCATCGCCGTCGGCCTCAAGCCGCGCGATATCATGACGAAGCACGCCTTCGAGAACGCCGTCCGGCTGGTGATGGTGACGGGCGGGTCGACAAACGCGACATTCCACCCCATCGCGATGGCGCGCCGAAACCCATTCTTAATCAACGACGACTGGCTGTGGACCAGGCGACCATCCACCTCATCGCGATGGCGCGTGCTGCCGGCGTCGACCTCACGCTGCACGACTTCCGCCGGATCGCGGCGGAGACGCCCTTCTTGGCGAACCTCAAGCCGAGTGGCAAGTACGTGATGGAGGACTTGCACGCCGTCGGAGGCACGCCCGCCGTGCTAAAGTACATGCTGCAGGAGGGCTTGCCCTGCCTGATGAACAGTGAATCATTCATGCTTGAGAATGAGAGGGCCTGCCCTGCCTGATGAAGAGTCCATGATTCATGCTTGAGAATGAGAGGGCCTGCCCTGCCTGATTAACAGTCCATGATTCATGCTTGAGAATGAGAGGGCCTGCTGCCTGATGAACAGTCCATGGTTCATGCTTGAGGATGACTCGAGCACATCTCCTGCAGGAGGGCCTGCTGCACGGCGATTGCATGACTGTCACCGGCAAGACCATCGCCGAGAACATCGCCGACCTCCCTCCGCTGGCGGAGGGGCAGGACGTCATCTACCCCGTCTCGAAGCCTGTCAAGGCGACGGGGCACAGCGCAATCTCGGGCCATCTCGGGCCATCTCGGGTCAGCTCGGGTCAGCTCGGGCCATCTTGGGGCCATCTCGGGTGGTCTCGGGTGATCTCGGGTGATCTCGTCAAGGCGACGGGGCACATCGCCATTCTCGAGGGCAACCTGGCGCCCGAGGGCGCCGTGGGGAAGATCACGGGCAAGGAGGGGGTCCGGTTCAGCGGGCCGGCGCGCTGCTTCGACGCGGAGGAGGAGATGATGGCTGCGGTGGTGCAGGACCCGCAGGCGCTCAAGGGGGCGGTGATCGTGATCCGGTACGAGGGGCCAAAGGGCGGGCCGGGCATGAAGGAGATGCTCTCCCCGACCTCGCTCGTCATGGGCGCCGGCCTCGGGCACGACGGTACCCGGACCCACCCTCCCCCACCCCCACGGTACCCGAACCCACCCTCCCCCTACCCCCACGGTACCCGAACCCACCCTCCCCCACCCCCACGGTACCCGGACCCACCCTCCCCTACCCCACGGTACCCGGACCCACCCTCCCCCACCCCCACGGTACCCGAACCCACCCTCCCCTGCCCCCACGGTACCCGAACCCACCCTACCCTACCCCCACGGTACCCGAACCCACCCTCCCCTGCCCCAGTCGCACTCATCACCGACGGCCGCTTCTCGGGCGGCTCGCACGGCTTCTGCGTGGGGCACGTCGCGCCCGAGGCGCAGGTGGGGGGGCCGATCGCGCTGGTGAGGGACGGGGAGACGGTGGCCCCACCCGTTCACAGCCGGAGGTGTGAAGAGAGACGCTGTTCACAGGTGAGGGACGGGGACCTTGTCACCATCGACGCCGAGACGCTCGAGATCAAGGCGCGAGATGGCGAGAGATTGCGAGAGATGGCGAGAGATTGCGCGAGATGGCGAGAGCTTGCGAGAGATGGCGAGAGATTGCGCGAGATGGCGAGAGATTGCGAGAGATGGCGAGAGATTGCGAGAGATGGCGAGAGATTGCGAGAGATGGCGAGAGATTGCGCGAGATGGCGAGAGCTTGCGCGAGATGGCGAGAGATTGCGCGAGATGGCGAGAGATTGCGAGAGATTGCGAGAGATGGCGAGAGATGGCGAGAGATTGCGCGAGAAGCTTCGGCCGCACCTCGGCCGCACCTCGGCCGCACCTCGGCCGCACCTCGGCCGCACTTCGGCCGCACTTCGGCCATAGGTCGACCTCTCTGAGGCCGAGCTGGCGGCGCGGCGCGGCGCGTGGGAGGCGCCGCCGTACAAGTACACGCGAGGCACAATGTACCGCTACATCAAGACCGTCTCGTCGGCGCAGAAGGGGTGCGTCACCGACGAGTGACCGCGCGCGCGGCGCCGAGCCGTGCCCCACCCCCTCCTCCACCGCCGCCGGCCTCGAACACCCCACCTCTCGCTGTCTGGCCTTGGCCGCCCTCTGCGCTCTGCTCGCGCCGGCGGCTGATCTCGCTCGCGCTGCCGCTGTCGCCCCACTGCGGTGGGGTTGACTTGGTCCCGCTCTCTCGCGCTGCCGGCGGGCGGCGTCGTGCGCCGCGTGCGACGCGCAACAACCCCCCCCCCCCCCCTCCCCTCCTGTCGGGCAAGGAGGGGTTACAACTGTACGGCGTTCGCATGGACCAGGGATCGAGGTCGGTGTTCGGTCCTCGGAACTCTCTCTCGCACACAGCGCACACACCTGCCACATAGTACTCTATTGCAATATGTTATTCAGGATCTCGCTGCTGTGGCAGGCGGCTTGCAGCAATCTGAGAAGTCAACACTGTTGAACAGATACAACACACGGAGAACTATTTTATTGTTTACGTGACTCACGTGGAACATGCACGCGGGCAACCGCCCAATTCCATGGCGGACGCGGCGGCAAATAAGGCACACCTGCGAAGCAGGGTACTGTCTACTGACGTAACGTCTAACGAGCGCATATGAGATGGATCTAGCACGACACGTGACGAACAGGGCATGCATGTACTGTACATGCATGAGGAGGAGGGGCAGGCGCCGGAGATCCGAGACAGGAGGCTGTATCAAGAGACAAGAGGCGAACAGGCGAAGCAAGGTCCAAGGAGAAAATTGCTAATTCGACGGTGGGTACGAAAGTGGCTGGACGGCGGGCACGCAGCGCGGAAGGGAGAAGACGACAACGTGTGGAGGACGGTAATCAAGGCGACGGGGACGATATCAGGCGACACGAGATACGTGGGAGGGAGACAGAGAACGGGGTGGTCCAAACTCGACCCAGCGCCAGCCCGAGGCCTGCGGGGAAAAGGCGAGGCTAAGGCTAGTACACGGCATACGGACGGGACAGACCCGAGGACCATACCTGGTACCCACAAAAACACAACCCCGGCCCCAAGACGCACAAGCTCAGACAGTCGAGAAAGGGATAGACAGTACCCACCCAAAAAGCCGGTATAAAAGCCGGTATAATAAGAGCCGGAACGCAGTCGATGGTGGGTTTACGCGAGCCGGGCAGCGGCGCAGGATCCCTGAGCTGCCCCGACGCGGCCGTGCTGGCGGCTGAGCGAGGCGAGGCGGAGGCGGTGCTGGAGTGGCTCGAGGGCGGCGGGCGGGCCGACGCGACGTACGAGAGAGGCGAGACTAGCGGCCTCACGCTGCTGATGGGCGCCGCCCGCAATGGCCACGAGGGGGTGGTCGAGTTGCTGATTCCGCATGGCGCGGGCATTAACAAGCAGGACAGCAGAGGCAGCACCGCGCTGATGTTCGCCATATCCCCACAGCGGCTGATGGGCGCCGACAACCACGGCCACGAGCGGGTGGTCGAGCTGCTGCTGCGGCACGGCTCGGAGATCAACCTGCAGAACAGCGACGGCTTCACCGCGCTGATGATCGCCGCCCACAGAGGCCACGAGCGGGTGGTCGACTTGCTGATACGGCACGGCGCGGAGATCAACCTGCAGAACAGCATCGGCGGCACCGCGCTCATGATCGCCGCCCTCTTCAACAACCTCGCCGTCCTGCGGCGCTTGCTGCGGGCGGGCGCAGACACCGCGGTGCGCACCACGAGCGGCAAGACGGCGCCGCAGCTGGCCAAGGATAAGGGCCACGCCGAGTGCGTCAAGGTCTTGGCTGAGGCGGCGGCGGTGGCAGACGGCCAGGCAGGGGCTGGCGCTTCCTCGGGCGCGGCAGCGGCAGCTGTGGACGCGCAACTGCTTGGCAAGCGCGTCGTTCTCGGCGGCCTCTCGGCCCGCCCGGAGCTGAACGGGCAGTGGGGCGTGGCTCAGAGCTTTGAGGGCGGGCGGTACGCGGTGGCGCTCGAGGGCGGCGGCGAGGGCGGCGGCGAGAGCGTGCGGGTGCGGCCAGGCAATTTATCGCCGGCGGCGGCGGCGGAGCGGGCGTCGAGCGGTGCCGTGGCAGCCCCCGATGAGGTCATCGCAGCAGCTGAGCGAGGCGAGGAGGAGGCGGTGCTGGCGTGGCTTGAGGGCGGAGGGCGGGTCAGCGCGAGGTACGAGAGAGGCAAGGTGAGCGGCCTCACGCTGCTCATGAGCGCCGCCCGCTACGGCCACGAGCAGGTGGTCGAGCTGCTGTTGCGGCGTGGGGCGAAGGTCAACTTGCAGGACAGCGACGGCGCCACCGCGCTGATGCACGCCGCCATCCAAGGCCACGAGCGGGTGGTCGACCTGCTGATACGGCACGGCGCTGAGATCAACCTGCAGGCCAGCAGCGGCGGCACTGCGATGATCGGCGCCGCCTTCTTCAACCGCTCCGCCGTCGTGCGGCGCTTGCTGCGGGCGGGCGCAGACACCGCGGCGCGCAGTGCGAACGGCAAGACGGCGCTGCAGCTGGCCAAGGAGAAGGGCCACGCCGAGTGCGTCGAGGCTTTCAGGCAGCACGTCAAGGAGTCGGTCGTGGCGGGACGGCCCACGGCGACGGCAGCCGGCGGCGAAGGCGCAGGCGGCGCTTCCTCCGGCGGCGCTCCCTCGGCTGGATCGAGAGTCGCGAAGACGCCATCTCCAGCGGTGGCGGGGCGGGCGTCGAGCGGTGTCGTGGCCGTCTCCGACGAGGTCGTGACAGCGGTTGAGGAAGGCGAGGATGAGGCGGTGCTGGCGTGGCTTGACAGCGGCGGGCGGGCCGACGCGACGTATGAGAGAGGCAGCGTGAGCGGCATCACGCTGCTGATGGGCACCACCCGCTACGGCCACGAGCGGGTGGTCGAGCTGCTGCTGCGGCACGGCGCGGGGGTCAACCAGCAGAACAGCGAAGGCTGCACCGCGCTGATGTTCGCCGCCGGCCAAGGCCACGAGCGGTTGGTCGACCTGCTGCTGCGGCACGGCGCGGAGATCAACCTGCAGAGCAGCGTCGGTGGCACCGCGCTCATGATCGCCGCCCTCTTCAACCGCTCATCCGTCGTGCGGCGCTTGCTGCGGGCGGGCGCTGACACGGCATCACGCACTGTTGACGGCAGCACGGCGCTGCAGCTGGCCAAGGAGAAGGGCCACGCCGAGTGCGTCAAGGTCTTGGCTGAGGCGGCGGCGGTGGCAGACGGCCAGGCAGGGGCCGGCGCTTCCTCGGGCGCGGCAGCGGCAGCTGTGGACGCGCAGCTGCTTGGCAAGCGCGTCGTTCTCGGCGGCCTCTCGGCCCGCCCGGAGCTGAACGGGCAGCGGGGCGTGGCTCAGAGCTTTGAGGGCGGGCGGTACGCGGTGGCGCTCGAGGGCGGCGGCGAGAGCGTGCGGGTGCGGCCGGGTAATCTGTCGCCAGTGGCGGCGGAGCGGGCTTCGAGCGGTGGCGTGAGAGTCTCCGATGAGGTCGTGGCAGCTGCTGAGCGAGGCGAGGCGACGGTTGTTCTGGCGTGGCTCGAGGGCGGCGGGCGGGCCGACGCGACGTACGAGAGAGACGGCGTGAGCGGCCTCACGCTGCTGATGAGCGCCGCCGTGTACGGCCACGAGCGGTTGGTCGAGCTGCTGCTGCGGCACGGCGCTGCGGTCAACCTGCAGAGTAGCAATGGCGGCACCGCGCTGATGGGCGCCGCCCTCTTCAACCACCCCGCCGTCGTGCGGCGCTTGCTGCAGGCGGGCGCAGACGCGACGCCCACTGTCAACGGCAAGACGGCGCTGCAGCGGGCCAAGGAGAAGGGCCACGCCGAGTGCGTGCGCGCCTTCAAGGAGCACTCGTCGACCGCAGCAGAAGCTGAGGGGGAGACGGCGGTCGCAGAATCAGCCGAACAGGCCGCGGCGGCCGCACGCGAGGCGGGAGCGGCAGCAGAGGCGGCGGAGGAGGCGCGCAATGCTGCCGAGGCGGCGCTGCGCGAGGCGGTTGAGGCGTGCGAGCGAGGCGACGCTGATCTCGAGGCGCTCAGGGCGGCGATCAACGCAAACACCGAAGCCGCCGACGGCTCGGAGGCGCTGCGGGCGGCGCGGCGGCTGCGCGACGAGCTGGCGGAGCGAAAGGTCCGCGAGGCCAGGGCGCTGAAGCGTCAGCGGCAGAAGGAGGAGAAGGCGGCGGCGGCGGCAGCGCGGGCGGCGGAGCGGGCGGCGGAGCAGGCGAGGGATGCGCGGGCGGCGGAGGAAGCGCGAGTGGCGGAGGAAGCGGATCGGGTGGTAGCAGAGGCTGTGGCGGTCCTTCCGGCGGACGACGCCGATGCGGCTTCTCGCGCATGTTAGGATGCATATGCTAGGTCTTAGGAGGAGCCCTCAAGGCATAGTGTGTACGTTCGTATCTGTGCGTACGCGGTTTTCTCTGGTATTCTTTTCACGTCTGGTCTGTCTCTTTTATCCTTCCTTCTCCAA